GGAATGCACTTGACTTATATTAAATCTCGATTACTGTGCATCTTTCCCATATATATCTTGTAAGCTGGTAGATAGGCTTCTGCTTCCAGAAAGATGCAATGCTGATTAAAGTGTGTTTTGCTTATGTCTAGGGTGAAAGAGTAGAGAACATAAGAGAATTTAAGACTCTCAAAGTGGGTAAAAATATAAACGGTGATGCTTGAAAGCGCACCTCATGTCTCCACCTGCCGAAGGATTCATAAAGAGACAGACAAAGGGAACGTGTGACCATGACGTTGAAGGTTTTCAAGAATTTTCTTACTCAAGCATATAATTAAGACTGTCTTTGCCTGTATTAAAAAGTGGCCTCAAAGTCAACTGCGCTTCTTTAAAACTGTGTAGTATTTGAGAAATCTTTTTTTAAACAAAAAGAAATTAGATTTGTAATCTTGTAGCAGAAGCCCTGGATTCACTGTCCTATATTAAATCTGTATTCGCTGGCTGGTGCTTACAAATATCTGTTGCGTTCAGAAGCAGGTAAAATTGCGTGTAGTGTTTGGGAGCCAGTGCGGGGTTCATCGTTTGTGCTGCCCTGAGGCATGTGGATTGATTGTGCATAACATCTTGATTTTTGCAAAATGTTGGTTGTGTTTGAACTAGCGTGTTTGACTGCCTCGGAAGCTAATATATCTTCATTTCAAGAACTTGGCAAGAGGAAAGCAATGTCCCCAGATGCACGCCCAGAAATGCGACTGGGATGTAGGCATGCATAACTTATTTGCCCGTTTGTTCTATCCCTAGAAAGCCGTATACCACCCTTAGACTGGCATAATGGGAGTCTGTATTAATGATGATGAGCTAGAAATAATCCAAGGGAGTCTGTATTAATGATGATGAGCTAATGATGATGATCCAGAAGGAGTTGAATGGTCTTTGATTTTTAGCTCTATGACAAAATATCTCGTTGACTCAGTAGGGTCAGAAATATGTTTTGGGATAGGAAAGACATAATTAATATTGAATTCCACGATGCCCTCTTGAGAGCTCTTTTTTGGCTAAATTGATCAGGGACTTGGAGATGCTTGTGCCTAATACGCAGGTAGGAATTTAAGCAAAGAGGTAAACATTTAGAGTGAGTTGTTGACTCACCTGCTATCAGAAATAAATCTTGAGCATACATCTCTGAAGAGCCTACACTCTCTGAAAGATTTCTATAGACATTGAAAGCCTTGTCTGTTGGCAGCCTGCAAAATAAAAACTCGGTATGTATGCATGTATAGAAACAGTGATGGGAAAAGGAGAATGTTGGAATGGGCTGAAGTATTAAAGCAAGCAATGAAAGCAGATGGCTTGCTTTTGGATTTGATAAAATAGGTTTCTCTTTATTTTGTTTTAAATGGAAACTATCAACTGTCAGCATTGCAAACCTATTTTCAGCAATGCCTTAAGTATTAAAAGTGCAATTGTCCCTGAATCGTAAAAGGTCAGGGGGCTTTACTGCTACTTCCCATCTTCACATTTATAGAATTGTGTATGCTCTGTATACATTAGAGTTGAGCAATTTCATCACAGCCTTTTCTTAAAATTGATTGCTGTTCAGTTGTCTCTCTTCCTACTCCCTCTCCCTTGTCAGTTGGTTGCATCTCTGACTCTTGTTACATTTAATATTGATGCTGCTTCAATTTTCCACTAAACTGGAAGTATTTAAGGGTTTGGAGTGGATACTGAATGTCTATATATATATATTTTTTTTAATTCTTATCATCATGAAAAAGTTTAGAGCTGGATTACTGCCTTAAGGAGAAGTGACTCTTTGCTCATTCAGTGATGAAGTCTGGTCATCAAGATGTTAGAATATGTGCGGCAGAACTCTTCAGATCCTGACATGAGTGCAAAAGTTGTTGCCAGCAGCTGTCTTGGGTTTTGGGCACCTGCTGCTTTTCACTTCTCGCATCTCCCACTCCATCTTCCACTCCCAAAGCTGGCAGTGCCTCTAAAAATACTCTTTCTTGAGTTCTTAAGTAGGAAATCTACCAAGCTAGTAGTCTGGATTCCTGAGTCATTGACTGTGCTGTAGTGAGATTAATTATATGACAGCGTTACTAATTATGGCAAGGTAATCAGCATCTAGTTTGAAACTGGGCACTTACTGGTTCCCGTCAGCTCAATGAATCACCAAGACGCTGCCCTTCCTCAGGCCACTTCTTTTTCATGCTGATTCCTTCCTTCCACGGCTCCAGTTGCAGAACTGTATTTTGATTGTTGTCTGCCACAGACGTGGGTGATGTGCCTGTAGTGGCAGTCATGTATGGGTCATGTGGTATATGGATTTGGGAAGAGAAGATGCTGGAGATTTGTTCCTCTGTATGACATACTAATTTGGCTCTGTATAATTGATTTCAGTGAAAGCTGGATTGTTGATACATGTGTGGGACACTCTTCCTTGCCTGCAGCATCAGTGCTCTAATATGAAATTTTCAGAAGCACAGATGCATTGCCTGCGTAGTTCCCCTATCTAACCAGAGTCTTATCCAAATTGACTGTGTTTTTTTCCATGTGAATACCTAGACTAGGAGTGGCTGGTTTGGCCTCAGATCCAGTTTGAATAATAACTTTTACTTCTAGTGCAGTGAAGAGGAGAATCTTGATCCGGTTTTGATTCGAAAGGAGCAAGTCCACTGTTTATTTGGTTTCCTGTAATTGCTGTCTAGTGGGTTACTTGGAAAAGAAATTAACCCTTGGTTTAGCACAAGAACACGGCAGCCCTGACCAGGAGTGCTAAAAGCTGGCTGTATCTCGGGGCAAGGATTGTAAAACTGTCAAACCTGCACCTGGGAGCTGAAAGTGAAGTTCAGTTCATAAGGAAGCAGGAAACCCAAATGTTGCTCACGTCTTAGGCAGCTGGCAGAAACTTTGAAAACTTTAGTTGGATAGCCTGTGTCTTTTATTATCAGTCAACAGTAGTAAATGCAGATCTACTAAAAGATCTTGGTGTAGACTTACTAGGCAGCAAGATTTAACCCAGCAGCCCTCTTGAGTTTTCGTTTTTGTTTTTACTGTTATTTTATTTACTCTCTACTTCATTCTAAATATAACTATTTTTCCCAACACAGGAATATGTCATACTGCATTTAAACCTGTTTTAATTTCTTGTTTCCATTCAGTGGAGTATATCTATTCTTGGAATAACTTTTTTTTTCCCCTCATGAAAGGTGACAAAATTAAAGCCTCCGGCAGCGCCCACAGAGTAAACGCGCTGTTAGCAACAGTTTGCTTTCTTTGGACTGTAATTCTACTGTCATGCGTTATATCTTATATTGATGTAAGAGAGGCCATTTTTTTGGCGATAGGGCAGGTTCCTTCTTGCTCAGCAACTGTCCAGTGCCGGCGAATCGGTACCAGTTGTTCATTTTGTCATGCAAGCGTTTTTCCACCAGGAATGTGGCGGTTACTGGCTTCGGTTACCCTGGGATGACAGATATAAAATCAGTAAGGAGCTACCTCTGTGTGTGACCTATCTACTCTAATAATAATATGCACTATAAAGACCCCCATGTTCTTCCTGTCCATCTGCTGAGGATGGACAGCCTTGCAATTGCTAAAATGTGAAAAATAAAACTAAGCACATCTGTATTGACTGTAAAAATCATCAGGAAGAAAAATAGCATTCAAATCGGGTTTTTGTCAGGATTGGTCAGAGGATACTGGTGAATACCAGTTGTGTATTGGTTTGTTCGGCCAACGACTGTTTTATCGTGCTGTTATATCAAGCCTGTCTTCAGAAAGGAGGGCATTGGCCTGCCCCCACCAAACTGTAGATGTTCGGTTCCACCCCTCTCAGCTGTTGCAAAGGATGAGGGTGGACAACACGTAGCTGATAACACATCACCTTCAGTTACCTGAAGTAGTTGCTCTGCACCATTAAAATGATGGTAGATCCCATAAACATATTGCTCTCCACTGTCTGCTTCCTCTGGCACTGAACTGTGACCAAGAGGAAAGTTCCTCCTGCCCTGTCAACCCCTCTCAAATAAATAATCATTTAAAAAAAAAAAAAAACAACAACAACCATCCCTTCTGTGAAGTTCCTGCTTAGCAAAAGTGTTGCTGATTGAACGTAGCCCTGAGAAGCAGGGAAAGCTCACAGCCCTTGACAGCAAATGAGTGCTGTGGCTGCCTCATAAATGCCTTGGCTTCAGAAGGAGGTGTTTATGGGCATGAAATGTTTATCATCGTGTACTTGATCTGCTGCCGCAGGGTTACTGCGTAAGTAAAAAGTAGTAATAAGTAAATAAGAGGTGATACTGCAGCCTGCTTGATCTGCTTGTCTCCACCCTGAACTCCTTAAATTGGCTTGCTGACAAAAGGAAAAGAAGCAACTGAAGGCAGCTTGTGTTTGGCCTAGCAGTTTGGACTGTGACCTGAAGATGTATTCACCTGCCTATGAAGGGAGATCTGGCTGGAAACCTGATCAGTCAGCTGGCTTTGTTAGGAAGCTCTCTTTGAAATTGTCCAGCAAAGATGACGACTTGATGTTTAGGATCACTTGTGTGTTTAAAAAATGCCCTTGCAAGAAGATGCATGCTCTTTGCAGGAAGTTTGGAAACAGCACAGTTGTTGGCCTCCTTTCGAATACGCCCGGCACTGCCACGCTCATTGGTGTATGGTGTGGCTGTCGGCATCTCTAACGTTGTGCAGCGCCTTGCCTGACTCCGTGACATCGGCTGCTTCACATCTGTCTCTGCTTAGCATCCGGTCTCCAGGGGGATGCTGCAACAGTCTGTGGGGGTTTTTGTTTTGTTTTTATTTTTGGATGTGTGTGTATGCTTTTGTTTTTAATAGCAGAGTTCCCAACAGGGGACAGCGCTGCACTGTTCAAGAGGCTTGTCATTTTTAAGGAACTTTTCTGAACTTGTCATCTTAAGAGCTATATTGTGCAGCAGCAGGCGGCCTCTATAAATCACTGATTTCTTTTTCTTCTCTTTCCTTTCCTTTCTCTCTTGCGCTCTCTTTATTCCAAGCCTGCGGATTTGGACGCCTGGGTAAGCTCTCTTTTTGTCTGGATCTTGCTTATTCCAAGTGTCATGTTGTTACTGCGCGTGTACAGATTGTTATTGCTGAGCACAGATGCAGGATTTTATTTTCTGTCATTACACTTTAAAAGGTGTTCAGCTAGAAAATTGCATATTATTTCCTCCATAAAGATTTTCACTGGTTCCTTTTGTGTAGCTTACAGCTGCTGAAACCAAACTTGATCTGGTGATGTGTGTAGCTGACTAAGAGAGCAGCAGAAACAGGAGGAAATGAGTGTTACACCAGTAGTGTGTTTTTTTTAAGGCCATGAGTCTGCACCAGGGGTTAAAAGAAAACAAGGATAATCTCCTGCCTTCAACAGAATGAGAGAACGGACAAAAAGCAGGTGATTTTATAGACCTCACATGCCTGGAGTAGTGGCTGCAGACAGCTTCGTGTTGTTGATGGTGATGTTACTGCTGATGCAAGTGAGGGTTGAGTCAGTGCTCCCCCGTGGTTACTTGTCTCATTCAGCCCTCCCCGTAAAGTTTTGCTGCTAAGTCTCAGGCATGATGTGCTCAAGCTGCCTCTTACTGTTTCAGTGTTGCCCTTTCAGCTCTGCCGTTCCCTTTAGACTTGGTCAGGAACATGCCAGCTAGCTAATTTTGGAGCTAGTTCTGGTCCTCAGTGCGCTGCTGTCAATTCCTTCTTCTAGTCTTGAAGCCTTTAATAGCGTTTTTTTTTTTCCCCTCCCTGCCACCCGGACTGCTACCAGGATTGGAAAAGAGGAAAGCATGAGGTATAAAAATGTGCAGTTGAAGTGAGGCGAGCTGAGGTACCTGGCTAAAACATCTCTGTTGTGCTACTGCAGAGATGTTACTAGAAACCTTTGGGGGAATCTGATAGCTCCTCTCTGGAAAGACAGAATGATGTAGAAACAAGGCATTTGATAGAGACTTAGTATCCTTCCTTTAGCCTATTTCCCTGGATTGCCTCTGACTGATTTTGTTTTCTAGGCATCATTTCACTAGTTTGTCTGTGACTGGTGAATGTGTTTTGCCAAGAAGATAAATATTTTTGGGATAATCTTGCCAAGTGCTGTGACTTGCTTTTGAGGAAGCTCTTTATAGATTGTGGTATGGACCTTTCCTTCTAGCTTCTGCTTACCCTTTGCAGAGAAAGAGTTTGTTTTTCTCCAGCAGATTCTTTTCCATGCCCTCTCCCCTGATCCCAGAACGCCAGCAGTATTGTGGAGAGCAGCAGCCTGATGGTAGCCATCAGCTGTGGGCTGTGCTATTGCTGCCCTTTATTCCTGAGTTTTCCCTACTGTCGTTTGACCCTGCCAAGAAGCCCCTTTTTTAGCAGATTTCCTCCCTAGTTTTCATGCTTAACGAGGTGATGAGAAGGGACTGTGATTAAAAGTAGTTAAAATCTGGTGATGATATTTTATGGGGGAAAAGCCAAAGCTGATCTGTGAATGGATGCAGCTAGAGTGGAGCCCAGTTCTAGAAGACCAGTTGTACATTCTAATGCTAATGCAGGGTGTGTTGGTTTTGGTTTGGGATAAGGCTAAAAGTGTCTTTTGCTTTGTTCATTCACAGTGAACCCCAATAATATTCCATTAGTTCAATTAACAGATTTCTTTTTTAAAAAAAAAAAAATTCCTTTTGGCCTGTCTGATCTAGCTGATCCATACTTGAATTGTTCAGTTCTAAACCTATGTATTACATATCGGTTGACATGTAAGTGCTTTCACAGCTTGTTTCTAAAGGGATTGCATGATAAAGGTAGGGAGTTGCACATGACTGTGCCCTAGCTCTTGGTTGTTATTCAAAGCAGCACCTAAATAACTTGGAAAGCTTTTGGGTCATAGAAAAAGTGTAAAGATTAAAAAGTAGGAAGAATTTGAAAGAACCTCCCCAACAGTCTGTGTATCCGTGCCCGTGGAAGCCAAAGTAGCATGTTAGTGATGTGCTTTCACTGCCCTTCGTTAGCATATGGTGCTTTTAGCTTCTGGCACCCTTATAGAGAGTTTTTGAGCATGTAAAAATCTATCTTATACCTTTTTGTACAGAAGGGAAATTGCCTATGGCACACATTCTTTTGCAAGTACTTGACTGTCCCACATATATGCTTTGCCATATATATATATATATGTAAATGCTGTCCCACATATATGCTTTGCCATATATATATATATATATGTATAGCTAATCTAAGTTTTAGGTTAACTCATGTAGTCCATGTTTAACTACTCTGCGCCTCCCTTCCCTCTCTATTTTGTTTCTCTCTCCTCCTCCACCTCACACTCTGCTATGTTTTTCTTCTCTTCAGTTTCTTAGTTGTCATCTGTGGACTTTGGTCATCTCATGCATGATATCTTCAAGCTCAGATGTAGCTGCTTCAGTATGGATGTGAAATCTGATATGTATGATAACATACTGGTTTGAAAAATCGCATGTCTTTCCTCCTCCGTCCATTCTTTAGTTCTAAAGGCCTTTGTGTGAAAAGTGTATCTGATGCTTTGTTTGCCACCTGCAGTCTCAGTCCCCTGTGAAATTGTAATCATCTCCATGGCAGTCAGTTCTGTCTGGGACATCACAGGCTTCTGACTTTAGGTAGGGAATAAGCAGCAGGACTAGAGGAACTCTTAATAAATACCCTGTATTCATATAAAACTTCCCTTGTTGCCTAACCCAGTTTGGAACAGTGAATATTTCAAATGACACATGCTCTGACTGTACCATTGATACTTCAAACATCATCATAAAGTGTACTAAAGTTTCTAGTAATAACAGCTGGGGCTAGAGGGGAAACAGAAAGCAACTTTCAAGCAGATCTGTTACTAAATAGAATATTATTTCAGTGGTCTGAAACAGCAGCAGCTCTCTGAAACAGGCAAGGCATGGAAAATATGTCTGAGTTACACAATTTAATGTTGATAATGTGGGAAAAAGTTATTTGGAAGAGTTGTACTGAAGGGAAGAAGAGTGTGTGTACCGAGGCTATAATCTGCAGTTGGGAGATCTGATTTTGATTCTTTCTAGACGTGGATTTGGCAGAACTCTAGGCCAGTCACTTCAGGTATGTTTGCCTGCCGCAGGGTGCATCGATATGGAGGCATTTTCCAGATTGGACGTCCCAGCACCAGTCATATCTGCTTGGGAGTCCATGGGCCGCTATTGTCACGGAGGTCAACGCACCTCTATTGTATCTGCGTCTCAGCATCCTATTTGAGAGATTAGGCATTTGTGTTGCAATCCCTTGTGGCGGTGTCGTATGGATAAACATGGTGATATGGTGAACTTTTTATTGGATGAGGTGAAGCATTTCCTGGGATGAAACGATGGGTGCATGGGGTCTGTGTCTTGCCAGGAACAGAGTGAAGGCTCTTGCCCACTAGGATTGCTACACATAGTGTTTGTGTGCTCCCAGAACAGTCTGCTACTCTGCTAGTCTCCCAGAACAGGAGAGTAGCACTGCCACGAAATTCCTGGTTTAGAGTAAGCAGAAACATTCATGCATTTCTAAGTGATGATCTTCTGGCAGTTTCCTTCCTCTATTATTCTTACACCTGAATCATCTTCCATCTCAATTGTGCGGAGAGGGGTCAGTACTGTGTAACCTTTCTTTCTTTTACTTATTCATATAAATATTTTTCTCCTTAAGGGAATGCAAGGCATATGTGTAGTAATCTGATTTTTATGGGTGTTATGCAGAAAACTAGCAGGAGAATCAGGATCCTTTGGTTTCTCACCAGGCCGCCCTGCCTCCTCCTGTTGGTTTCATTTCAATTGAAACTTGCTTAGTTGTTTCCTTCACAGAGGATGGATATTGATTCAGAAAGATAGCTATAGTTCTCTTATCAGAATAAAGGTAATACCTTTCAAGTGCCAGAATGCTATTCAGTGCCCCCTTTGTTGCTGTGGTATCTATTCAGTTAGGGTAGATGTATAGGACAGCTCATGACCTCCTATGTTGTCCTGTTTCTGCCAGTTTGCATGCCGGAGGATATGCAGAAGCATTGGTTAAATTGAAGCCGGAGACTTTGCCTTTAATCGAGCATCTTTGGGAGTAAGAGGATTTAGATGTGGGTCTGTAGTGCTTATGCCTTACCCTGGCCATGTTGACTAGCATGGCAGATTGATTTGCTTACTCATCAACCATCCCTTGTTGCCTAGCTTAATCTCTTCTTCTTAGCCCTATTATACCACCATATTTCCATTAGTAGGGGAGTAGGAAGAAGGAAATGCACAGCAACTTGCTTTCAGATGTAATTTTTCTCATTAACAATGGCTGTTGGCCATAAAATGACAGGTCTGAGCCTATGGGGATGTTTCTGTCCCAGCTGCTTAATCATATTGGACCAGCATTTCTGTGATTGTAGCAACATCATTACAAGTTAAGAGCAATGCTGCTGCATTTCTACAGATTAGAAGGGTTTGCGTTCATGTTAAACGGGCTAATCGGTCTGGTTTGTAAAGGTCTTCTGCCTGGTGATAGCGTATGTGGCTGCAGAGATTTCTGGGGTGGGATGAGGGGAGAGATACGAGTGCCGTTCTTCTTGCTATCATTGCTTTCTATTTTCAAGCTTTAAAGAAAAGTTGAGTTTAGCTCCGTCAATGCTGTGTTTTCTTAATGCTAGTTCAATTTAGGGGTGGGGATGCAATGAAATTCTGTCAGCTGTAAAGCATTAAAAGGGAAAAGCTGTTGCTGTAACCACACAGACTTTAAACAAATTTTTTTCTTTTTAGTTAAGCATTGCCTAGTTGCTCTAATTGAGCATTGCTACTTTAAGCAAGTCTTTGTATACCAGGTTTGCTGTTTTGGAAGTGACAAACTTATACTTCAGAAAAAAGAAAAGAGAAATAGAGAGATTCTCTGGTTTTTTTTTCCCTCCCCCCACCCCTTGACAACACCCAGTAAGAGGAACTCTGGGGGTGGTGATGGCGTAGGCACTGAGAGCATATGATGAGAGTAGCTAATTGTTACGATACTCCAAAGTGCGTATGTAAAAAAGCAAATACATGGTTGGTGAGAATGCATCTCTCAATGTTATAATATAGACTTGCATTTGGGATTCCCCTCACGGTCATAGGGGGATGTATTAGATCTGTAGAAGTTTTCTGACCCTTCAAGGGACGAGTGTGTATGAAGTGGAGGGTTTGGGGGTTGTTTTAAAGGAACTATAAGCTTGGATAACATTCAGTTCTGAAAAAAGCAGTAGGAAGGTCCGGGAGTGTTAACTTCCTAGGATTGGATGTTTTCATTTAATTAAGAGAAATAAAAATGAGGTAATGAGTTTGAATACGATCCTAATTAGAGTAATTCAGACTTGTGGGAATAGTCCAAAATGAACCAGAGCATTGAAGGTTTGAAGCTCTACCTAGAGGAATCCCATATACCAGTCCTGAACAATGTGGATTTTTCTGAGTTCCCTCCAGTCTGCATCCCATGTGCTTTTCTTGCCTTCACACTTTTTATTTTTAATTTCTTCTTCTACTGAAGCTCTCTTGTTTTTCTTCCCAGGCCATGGAGCTGCAAGGCAGGGAGGCAGAACTGAAGCGACAAGAGGCCTTCTATAAAGAGCAGCTGGCCCGCATTGAGAGGAAGGTAAGGCTATATTGTCTTTCATTTGTGGCCTCTGAATGCTAGGGGGATCGAACACGAATTTGAGTGGATCCACAGAGTAGAGAAACGAGAAGCGTTGTGCCGAAACCTGGAACTGCCAGCCTCTGTTGTTTATCCTTCCTCCACCTTTACATAGTTGCATGAAAAAGCTGTATGAACCAAATCTTTTAAACAATTCACGTTTGAAAGATAAGTGGCTTTAATTGGATAATTTAAAATGAATGTTTATAATAATGCAGACTTTATTTTCTTTTTCACCATGGGGTTTAGGTGAAAGCTAAGTTTGCCTTGTTTTGTATTCCTTTTCTAAAAATTCCTGTCCTAAATTTAAAAAAAAATCACAAATCTTGCTATAAATATGAATTAAAGTTGTGTTATTAATTTTTCTCTGGGGAGCCCGACAGTTCAAAGTCTGTTGCTGCAGTGCACTGTCTGCTTCTTGCTGGATAATCCTTTGAAATGAACATGATTTAAAGAGACACTGTCAAGCATCTTTTAAGCCTGAAATGACCTTTAAAATCCATTTAGGGATTTGAATCTCTCCCCTAAACGTGGGATTTGCTTCTCTGTTTAATTGTTTACTGTGATGAGTTTTTAAAAATTGATGCCATAAAAATAGGAGCAGCCATGCTGTTCCTTATGAACTAATGCGTTTTTCACTTCCTGGCAAAATGAAATAATGTTATAAGTAGTCTTTATTTTTTAATAAATGTGGAGAATAATATTCTCCAATTTGAAGCAATTAGAGCTCCTGACAGGGAGTTGCATGCATCCAACCTACAGTTGTGTTATGTGACTAAAAAGAAGCACAAAGCAATGATTTCTCTGTCTCTTTACGATCCACCTTTTTCAATCGGCTTTACTACTAACATGCAGCATGATGGTGAATATGGAACAATGGAAAATTACAGATTATGGAAATGATAGGAAGCTATTGGCATGTCTAGTTTCCCCTTTTCATTCTCTACTACTGCGTGATTGTCCATGCAGCCTCTTTTTTTTTTTTTTTTAATGCCAAAGATGGTAGAACATGCCCATGAGCAATTTCATGTGATACAATTTTGCAACACTTAATCCATACATTTCATTAAAAAATAAACTATTACAACTATCATTCCGTGTTGCATTCAGATTTTACATTCTATTTCTAGATAATGGGGATTGTTCAGTGAAATTGCAAACAATCTAGCAGCTATCGTCCTAATTATCACAGTTGTCCATATGTTCATACACAAAGGGAATTTTTGCAATTTCTTGATCTCATGCTGTGTGCTTCTATTATATTCTTCTTTCCAGATTTAGTTTCATGAAGTGGAAACTGCAGGGAAAATTTGTATGTGTGTCTGTCCTTTATGGACAGTGGAGTGGGGAGAAGTTTGGCCAGGTTGCTTTGTCCTCCTTTTGAAATCTTTTGTTACATTTTTTTTGTTTCCCTTTTCAGATCAGTGTCTCTTGCTACTGGGTAATTTTTTTCGACAAGGTGATGGATGTTTTAGTGCAGGATCTTCACTCTGGGATAGGGTGGCCAGCCCATAGTTCTATTCAAATTGCAGAGATGCATAGAAACACTCTTCTAGTTCTTATACAATAGCAAGTAGATAATAAGGACAGGTTTTCTTTCCTTTCTTGAAACACTGGATAGTTTCTGACCCTTAAACACGAGCATTTTGCTGGTAATAAAATAGAAGAATGCCTCCAACCGTTAGTGTAGATTGAAGTGGGAGGTGGTGGGGGCTAGAAAGGAGAGGAGAGAAACGTACTTGAAACAGTGTAATAAAGCTTAATTGTATTAGTTTTGAAAAAGGTTTTCGATCTTCTCTGTGGATAATTTTATTCCTATAATGGTTGGAAAGATGGGAAACACAGCACAGAACAGTCTTTTTTATTAGCTGTTGCTTTTATATAATTCTGCTTTTATTTGTTGAATACACACAGACCTTGACATTTATTTATTTATTTTTCCTTTCCACGATGTTAAAACCTTCCAACTCAGGCTTTTTATCTATATCCATACACGTATGTATAGGTAGTTGAGCGTATATGTGTATATATGCGAGTGTATAATGTCTGTCTCTCTATATAACGATATACGTGTGTGTTTATGTATAAAAGGCATCAGTAGGGGCATGAGGTGGGGAGTAGCTTTGAAGCAGAAGTTTTGCTTGCTTTTCTGTTTTCAGATGGGATGGTCACTTGGCGTGAGGTCACTTGGTTGTTTGGAGGCATTGGGAGGGGGGTGAACGGAAGTGTTGGCTCACTCTGGAGTTAGGAAGCCTAAATATCTCCCCCTAAGGAACAAGCTGTCAGGAATTGCCTCCTCTTCTGTGCTTATGCGTACCCTTGGTTAAGCTTGGTCCCTGCTTCTGCAGGATAACAGAATTCAAATGTAGAAGACTTACAGGTTTGGTTTTGGAGGATTTTTTTTTTTTCTACTGTTGGTGTGGAGAACTAAGTACCTTCCTGGTAGGATGCTAGGAATAATTGTGTTATATCTGAGGAACGTAGTTCTTAGAACGCGGTAGCAGCTTTTTGGGATCAAACACAGAGACTGTCCTGTCTCTTCTGAAAGTGGTCAGTTTTCAGAGACTTCAAAGGAAGGTGCAAAAGGGGAGGGAAAAAAAAAGGAAAAAGCTTTCGGAGAACAGCCTTAAAAAGTATCTTCCTAAGAGTTGTCAGAGGCTGACACATGCTCTCCTACGTGAGAGTTTATCTTCCTTCAGTATTTTTATTCACTGTCATGGAACTTGGGTTACTTTCATCATTCATCTAAATGTCACAGCCGTTTTTTTTGAACTCTGTTTAGCTCTTTGCCTCAGTGTCATGTGGCATTGGGTTCCACAGGTTAACTACCTGGCCTATCTGTTTTGTGTTACCACTTTCACATGTGAGATATTACATGAAAACAAGTATTTGAAAGGGATACAAGGAAATCCATTTGTCGTAGGTTACCTGAAGGCTTCTGCCCTATTCCCTTTTTTTAATCTTCCCATTAAGCTAAGCAGTCCTCACCTTTCCAGCCTCTGCTTGTGTAAACGATTTTTACAGGTTTCTTATTCTACTTGTTTGTCTTTGGGCCCTTTTCCCATTGCTGCTCTGTCTTTAAGATGTATTGACCACAATTGAACTCAGTAGTTCCCTTGAATGCGGCAGATTGTGTGAATACATTATCCCTTTATTTTGTAATCTCTAAAAGAGTGCTGTGATCTCCTGGACAGAGCACACAAGTGGAAGCAAAAAACTCCTCATTTTCTAATAGCTGTTTCTCTTTTGGGAGTTTGAAACAATTACTTAGCCCATCTATCTCAGTTATTCCATCTATAAGATGGAATAGCTTGTAATGGGAGGGCACAGTGTTGTGAAACAGTAAAGCTATAGAAATGCTAAAAGCGTTTTGCCTTTAGTTTTACGTGAGGTAAACTATGGGTATAGCTTGATTCAAATAGATCTTAAACTCAATTTCTCTAGTACTCTATTAATAAATTTCCATGGCAAAGGGCATGTATTATAAAGATATTTTCAGTATTTCAGCAGAAATATTCAATATTTGTGGGTTCAAGACAGGCACCTCCTCCTTTTTCCTCCCTCCTCCGTTTTCCTCATGTGGATAATTTGGCTTTTGGGATTTTTCCTCCATTTTCTACTAAAGCCCTGGAGGATGTAAGGCTGTGAGGGCAGCTATGCTTGGTCACACCAAAGGCACATCTAGTTCAATACAGTGTTCCTGACTGTGACCAGAAGTGGATGCCCAAGGATGACTGCAAGAGCAGGGTAAGTGTACATGATGCTTGCCCCAAATGCTTTCTCAGCCTCCGGTCACTTGTGGTTCATATATTTCCTGAGATGTTTGTGTGTTTACTAATCATAAATGGGTTTTCTTTTCCATCAGATTGTCCAGTTTTCTCTTGAACTTAGTTCATAGCAAACAGTTCCCTAACCCCTGTTAATATCATTTGATGATACGGGTTCTCATGAGGAAGAAACAGTGACTGATAAGCCCCCATTTCCTTTCATGCCTCTTATGGCTTTGTAGATCTTTGTCATATCTTCCAGTGCCGTCTCTTTCTAGGCTGAAAGAGCCTAGTTCACTTGGTTGTGTTCCCTGAGCAAGTTGTACCGGACTTTGGTCGTTCTTGCTGGTGGTCTCTGAAACTTTTCCACATCTACTGAATTCTCTTTGAGAGGTGGGAACCAGAACTGCACATGCAAAGTTAAAGATTGAAGTGAACCAAGGATTTATACAGTAGCCTTGTGAGAATCACTGTCTGGGTCTCTGTTTCTTCCCTAATAACGTCTAGTGCTTGGTTTGTGCTTCAGACACCTATTGAGCAAACGTCATGCACTACTGCTTCTAGCGGTACTCAGGTCTTTTGAGTGCAGATTTGAATGTGTGAAGTAGTTATCCTGGGATTAAACCAATAGTATGATTTGTTCTTGAGAAGAATTCTTCCTCCGCTCCATCCTCCACATGAGATTGTCAGGGTGTGTGTCTGTGTAGGAGTGTTAGGTTTTATTCTGCCTGCAGTGTGGTGTGTACTTTTTTTTTCTTTTTAGTTAAATTTGATAGGACAAATTCCTTGCAGTGAATCAGCTCACTGGTGATGTCCCTCATCTTCCACGCTTTGCTCTGGTAGTTCATTAGAGTTGGGTGGTGTCTGTTTCTCAGGTTGCACCCAAGTATCTTGTTTTGGGATGTTTGAAGTATTTTGGTAATCAGAAAATTGTCAGTTCAGAGGACCTATTTCCTGTAGTTTCTTATATGACTATGCGTAGTTGCAGGAGTTTGGAATCGATGATAGAGACATTCCCTTCCAGGCCTGTGTTCCCGATGTGACTAATCTCCAGTAAGGAATCCAGTATGAGACCTTGGCAACTTGTTGAATTAGAGGCAGCGCATTGAGTGCAAGGCTCGTCTGAGTATTTTTGCATCTTATTCATGTAATTCTGAGCATTTATTTATTTATTTATTTATTATTTAATTCTCT